CACACACACACACACACACACACACACACTGTAGTGTGTATTTTCGGAGGAGGAGGAGGTGGCGGTGGCTTTTGGAAGAGGAGGCAGCGGTGGTGTCGGGGAGGGGGGAATCTCTTTCCCCGTCTGGAGATGGTTGTGCTATTCCTCTTTGCCTTGCTCTGGATGGTGGAGGGGGCTTTTTGCCAGCTCCATTACACGGTGCAGGAAGAGCAGGAGCATGGCACGTTCGTGGGGAATATCGCCGAGGACCTGGGCTTGGACATTACAAAACTTTCGGCTCGGCGCTTCCAGACGGCGCCCAACTCCCGCAGCCCTTACCTGGAGCTTAACCTAGAAACCGGGATACTCTACGTGAACGAGAAGATCGACCGGGAGCAGATCTGTAAGCAGAGCCCTTCCTGCCTGCTGCATCTGGAGGTCTTCCTGGAGAACCCCCTGGAGCTGTTCCGGGTGGAGATCGAGGTGCTGGACATCAACGACAACCCGCCCTCCTTCCCGGAGCCCGACCTCACGGTGGAGATCTCGGAGAGCGCCACGCCGGGCACTCGCTTCCCGCTGGAGAGCGCCTTCGACCCCGACGTGGGCACCAACTCCCTGCGCACCTACGAGATCACCCCCAACAGCTACTTCTCCCTCGACGTGCAGACGCAGGGCGACGGGAACCGCTTCGCCGAGCTGGTGCTGGACCAGCCGCTGGACCGGGAGCAGCAGGCGGTGCACCGCTACGTGCTGACGGCGGTGGACGGCGGGCAGCCCCAGCAGCGCACCGGCACCGCCCTGCTCACCGTCAGGGTGCTGGACTCCAACGACAACGTCCCCGCCTTCGAGCAGCCCGTCTACACCGTATCGCTGCCGGAGAACTCGCCGCCGGGCACCCTGGTGCTGCAGCTCAACGCCACGGACCCCGACGAGGGGCAGAACGGCGAGATCATCTACTCCTTCAGCAGCCACATCTCGGCCCGCGCCCGCGAGCTCTTCGGCATCGCGCCGCGCACCGGGCGCCTGGAGGTGAGCGGCGAGCTGGACTACGAGGAGAGCAGCGTGTACCAGGTGTACGTCCAAGCCAAGGACCTGGGGCCCAACGCCGTGCCCGCCCACTGCAAAGTGCTGGTGAGGGTGCTGGACGCCAACGACAACGCGCCCGAGATCAGCTTCTCCACCGTCAAGGAGGCGGTGAGCGAGGCGGCGGCGCCGGGCACCGTGGTGGCCCTTTTCAGCGTCTCGGACCGCGACTCGGAGGAGAACGGGCAGGTGCAGTGCGAGCTGCTGCAGGGCGACGCGCCCTTCCGCCTCAAGAGCTCCTTCAAGAACTACTACACCATCGTCACCGAGGGGCCGCTGGACCGCGAGCAGCCGGGCGGCGACGCCTACACGCTCACCGTGGTGGCCCGGGACCACGGCGAGCCGCCGCTCAGCACCAGCAAGTCCATCCAGGTGCGGGTGAGCGACGTGAACGACAACGCGCCGCGCTTCAGCCAGCCCGTGTACCAGGTGTACGTGAGCGAGAACAACGTGCCCGGCGCCTACATCTACGCCGTCAGCGCCACCGACCGCGACCAGGGCGCCAATGCCCGCCTCGCCTACTCCATCCTGGAGAGCCAGATCCAGGGCATGTCCGTATTCACCTACGTCTCCATCAACTCCGAGAACGGGTTTCTCTACGCCCTCCGCTCCTTCGACTACGAGCAGCTCAAAGAGTTCAGCTTCCAGGTAGAGGCCCGCGACGCTGGCGAGGAGCCGCAGCCGCTGGCCGGCAATGCCACCGTCCACATCATCGTGGTGGACCAGAACGACAACGCGCCCGCCATCGTCAGCCCCCTGCCCGGCCGGAACGGCACCCCGGCGCGGGAGGCGCTGCCCCGCGGCGCCGAGCCGGGCTACCTGGTGAGCCGGGTGGCGGCCGTGGACGCCGACGACGGCGAGAACGCCCGCCTCACCTACAGCATCGCGCGGGGCAACGAGGCCGGGCTGTTCCGCATGGACTGGCGCTCCGGGGAGCTGCGGACGGCCCGCAGGGTGCCGGCCAAGCGCGACCCGCAGCGCCCCTACGAGCTGGTCATCGAGGTGCGCGACCACGGGCAGCCGCCGCTCTCCTCCACCGCCGCCGTGCAGGTGGTGCTGGTGGACGGCGCGGGCGAGCGCTCCGGCGGCGGAGGTGGCCCTGCCGCGGGCACGGGAGCGGGGGGCGGCGGCGGTGGCTCTGGCGAGCATCGCCCCAGCCGCTCCGGCGGGGATAACTCGCTTGACCTCACCCTCATCCTCATCATCGCCCTGGGCTCCGTCTCCTTCATCTTCCTGCTGGCCATGATCGTCCTGGCGGTGCGCTGCCAGAAGGAGAAGAAGCTCAATATCTACACCTGCCTGGCCAGCGACTGCTGCCTGGGCTGCTGCTGCTGCTGCCCCTGCTGCAGCCGGCAGGCGCGGGCCCGCAAGAAGAAGCTCAGCAAGTCGGACATCATGCTGGTGCAGAGCTCCAACGTGCCGAGCAACCCTGCGCAGGTGCCGGTGGAGGAGTCGGGCAGTTTCGGCTCCCACCACCACAACCAGAACTACTGCTACCAAGTCTGCCTCACCCCCGAGTCCGCCAAGACCGACCTGATGTTCCTCAAGCCCTGTAGCCCCTCTCGCAGCACCGACGCCGAGCACAACCCCTGCGGGGCCATCGTCACCGGCTACGCCGACCAGCAGCCCGACATCATCTCCAATGGCAGCATTTTGTCCAGCGAGGTAAGGACGGGCACCCCCCGGCATCCCACACCCCCCCACCCTCCGCAGACTGCATCCCCCAAGTCATCCCCGAACATCCTTCCTGAAGCTCCCGCTCCTCCTCTCCCGTCGGGAAAGGATTCCCAGTCTGCATTCCTAATCCTGCTTCTTTCCCCTTTAATCCGCTATCTCTCCCCTCTTTGCCCTCTCCTGTTGGGGAGGCTTTAGCGACAGGCGGGGGTCTCAGGGGCGATTGCGGGGTTGACACACACACACACGGCTGGCTCCCTCCCGCTCGGGTTTAGCAGGTGTTGCAGCCAAGCGTGCCCCCCCTGAACCCTCCCGGTGCCTCTGAAGGAATTTGGCCCTGGCTGGGCAGCATGGGGGTGCAGAGATCCCCCCCCGAGGCAGCGGTAGCTGTCAGTGGATCGCCTGTGGGTTGCGAGGTGGGGGGGTTACGGCTCCGTGCAGAATCTGTCCGCTTGACAAGGCTCAAGTGACGTGGAGTGTAATCACAGGATGCTCTGAAGCAACACTCTAAACCCGTGTCTTTTTCCTTTCTGAAATCTTTACATGTGCAAGTAAGGCTTTGGGGGGAACCCCCTTTGGGACTGTGACTATCACTGTAGTTAGGAGGAGCTTTAATTAATTTGTGAATTAGGATTTAATAACTGACTTTTCTTTACTCTGCTGCACAGCTCTTTATAACCCCAAAGTTTGCAAAGAAAACCAGCAAGGAAGACTTTCTGTAAAATTATGTGCTGAGACTTAATGTCCCCTTCAATCTCGCCTATGTTGTGTTACCTGGTGTGTAGAGAATTTTTATAAAAGCCTATACCATGCCATATTACTCCCCCATTAATCATTTTGTGTTAGGTTAGCTTATATATATTGTCAGCACCTGTCTGCCTGTGCACTAGTGTAAACCTCACATTCTCTCTTAACATACTGAAACCTGAATGTTGGCCAGTCTGACAAGGGTAGTTTGAATGGTATATTCTAAGGCATTAAGCTTTGCAGTGAAATTTCTACTACTGATTTGTAATACTGACCTTGCTTCAAAATGCCTATAAAATTCTTGGGTTTTGCTGCCTTTTTGGTGACCTGAGGGTATCTCAATGTGTTTTTTTTCCTTATGGTGCAATACCACTACCATCTAAGTAGTGCATAACTCTAGAAATAGTTATGCTAATTTTTTGTGGGAGTCCTTGTGATGCTCAACAGTGTGTACTGTGAGAAAACGTCAGTCTTGTCTCAAACTCCAGAAAATATCCCTCGTGCCTTCCCATCTGTGTGACTAAGTGCTGGTTTTTTTTCCCCCTTACATTCTAGAAACAGATTTTGTAGGCCTACTTGCGGCTAAGCATTACCATTTATAGTGAATATGGTGAGCTGCTTCCCTTGTATATTTTCTGCTGCTGATTACAGAAATATCAAGAGTTAAAATATCTCCCATTATTCTTTTCTCCTAGACAAAACATCAGCGTGCTGAGCTCAGTTATCTAGTTGACAGACCCCGACGAGTAAACAGGTAGGAGCTCCGTAGCCTTGCTTTCCTCATGCATGCTTTAGCAGGTCTGAATGGGGTGCAGAAATGTGTTTACTGCAGATGTAACAGGGCAGTAAAGCAGTGGGAAGTCGAATGGATGTAGATGCACTGAATAAGTTTGCATTACGGCTTTTCTAAAGTGGTTTCAAAACTGACTGAGAAAAGAACAAAATCTCGGTTTGTGTTAGTCTAAAACGTGCTTCAAATACTTAAGAACATGCTTCTGTAGGGTATCCTAGAAAATATTGTCTCACTGAGTTACAGTTCAGCTAACCAGCTTAAGTAAATGCTACCAAATTACTTTTACTCACTACACGAAACCCAGGAGGAGTAATAACCCTTGCTGTCCCTTCCAGCCAGGCTCCCAAGGTCTGAAAATTCCTGTTTTTGTTTAGGGTGGGCAGGGCACCTCCGTGATAGCCGTGCAGCAGGCAGGAGTGGGAGGGAGGGGGGGAATGCAGCGCCGTGTTTGGCCATGTGATGGCGGAAGAATGTTTTATGAGTTTCTCTTTCATGTTTATTCTAATGTAAAGATGTCTCTGTGTCCAGTTCTGCATTCCAGGAAGCAGACATAGTAAGCTCTAAGGACAGTGGTCATGGAGACAGTGAGCAAGGAGACAGTGATCATGATGCCACTAATCGAGGTCAATCCTCTGGTAAGTCTGATAAGAGAATGGAAGTATTGGATCTTTAAGTAGAGAGACTAGAAGGAACAGTCACTTATAGGAGTATAATACAGGAGAGACATAAATGAGGTGAGCATATTTATTCTATGGGAGGCTGGGTTTATCTCAGCTTGCTGCTACAGTTTCCTGGACAAGGAGGCAATTTTGAACCTTTTTTGGTCACAGGGCAGAGGTTATTTTATTCATTTGGTTGGGGGTGGGAATTGGTGTGTTTATACTGCATCATTCACTGCAGCAAAACTTCCTGCACATTAAAACAAAGTTATTGGTACATTTTATAGTGCATTTTCTCCTATGGCAGATTTAGAGAGTTTCAAAGCATTAAGCAATTCTGTTTAGTAGGCACTTCAGCTGGCACAGCAATGAGAAGTGAAGGAGGAGTTCCCAAGGGAAAGAATGAGCCCAATGATTGAATGACAGCCAGACTGTGAAGCTTTTTTTTACCAGGGATCAGTGGAGACACATTGGGTGCTCTGAATGTGTAATACCTTAGAATTTTTGGAGGATTTTCTATTAATTAATTCGAATTGAGGCACCATATAGTGCAAGTGGTCTCCATGTTAACAAGATATTATTAAATACATTTTCTCGACAGAGGAAAGAAAGGCTTTAAAAGACTATGAATCACTGAGGAAATACACACATTGCAGTGTTATGCCCATATGTAGGGCTTGCTGTCTTAGTTCTCATACTGTCAGTTTGCTTCTGAAAGGAACATTTGTTCAGAGCCTGTGCATTAGAATTCACGCTCACCCTCGCACTGCATTTTAGCTACAAATGCTGTGCTTTCTTTCCTACCACAGCCTCCACAGGTCTGGTGCATCTTTGTGCAACACAGTGCTGTCTTTGCCCTTGTTTCCTTTGTGCTCTGTCACGTACGAAGATTTGCTACAACAGTGTCATACAAAATACTGTCAGCTCTCCTTTTTGTCTTTTGCCCGACCCCCACCTTAGGAGGTAGCAGGGCAGGGGACCCGGAGCTGTCACAGCAGTGCTGCCTCACCCCTGCTCTGTTAATGTCCCCTCTTTTCTTGCTGCTGCAATCACTGTGCCCTTAACGATGGGAAACCTAGGCACCAGGGGAAGAGGAGGCTGCCACAGGGCCTCTTTCTATTGCTGCAAGTCATTAATATGCAGACCTAATGAGACTTGAGAAGAGCCAAGAGTCTCTGGAGCTCCCTGCTTCTTGCAGGGCTTCATGCTAAGTGAACAGAGTGTCTATTTTGTGTCTGGGAACCTGACAACAAACCAGGTCTTGCCAGAAGTTTACATCTGAACACAGAGCCTCTTTCATTTTTGGCCTATATATGGCGTATGATTTATTATTGTTCGAAAAAGCCATGTATTTAGCCTCCCCCCACCCCTTCTTTTGCACTGTTTCTGATGCAGCAATCAGGGCTACTGAGTTATAAAAAGCTCTCTCTCCTCCTGCCCTCCCTGCATTCCTGTTTTTTTTCCCTCTTTTACGCATTTTACTGCAGCAGTCATCTCCATGAACATTTCAATCAGCTTAGTCCCTCAACATAATGAACCATAATAACCAAACAGGAGAGAAAAGAATAAACATCTGCAGAAGGGGCTGGATTTGACTGATGGTGGGAATATAATCATATAGTTGCACATCAACTGAAAGCTATTTTCTTTTAGATGCATTCTGTGCTGTTATTGTTGTGCCTCTGCTCTTTATTCTTTCCCTCCATTTTAAAAGTAGACTATGAATACTTGTCATATTTGGCATTGATCCTTAGTGGGGCAAATTCTTCTTAATTTCTATTTTATCAAATAGTGGAGAAAAAACTATTCTATACTTTGAAATAATTTCAAATAATTTAAGAATCTGATGTGATCTGTGAACTTCTGAATCTTCAGTGGTGATCACAGAATAAGTAATGAAAGCTGACAATTAGGCTTGGTCTACTCACAATTAGTAGTTTGAACTGAAAACTCAGAATACACCAATTTCATATATTGGTGCTGAGATTTGAGAATAATTTGCATGCACCATTTTTTTAATGCTAGTCCCAAATAAATATTTCAATACAAGGCTCTGCATAAACTGCTTTAATCTTCTACAAATATATTTTATACTTTTCTTGTAAGATTTGGGCTGAATCATGCTGTCTTGATGCAGAGAATGTGCCCTTTTACCTCAGTGATGACAAGATATTTTGACATAAAACCTTCACTCTTGCTATTAGCTTTTGGTGATGAATTTTATGGGGGAAAAACAGGAGCATAAATCTTGTTTGATCTCGAATGGCTACAGGGAATGCCTTCTCAATTGTTTTGGTCATTCTGATGCTCTATAATAAATTATTTCTAAATTACTGAAGGAAAACACACTGTTTGATAACATGGCAGCAGTTTGGGCTGTTTTTTTTCCCAAGATGTTACCTGATACTATGCAGCATCATATTTGCTTTCAAATGCATCTAAAAATACTTAGTAGGTAATTTGCACTGGCAGACAAAACTCATTCCCTACCAGTTTTAGTCAGCAGCATGTTCTGCTGGCAAAACATCTTTTTATTGTTCAGCATGGGACTTTTGTCACTAGTGAACAGTCCTGTGGCACACAGGTAGCTGTTCTGTAGTAGCCCATCCAAACTGGCTGTCATGGTCAGTTATTAACTGGGAACGAAAACATGTAGGATGAAAATCTATCACACTGCCACAGCTTCACCTTGCACAATTATTTAGTGAAAATTCTGAACTATGCTGTTCTACCTATCATAACATATTTCTTTGGGTTTTGAAATTAGATCATAATTCACCTTTTCACAAAATACATTTTCTTAAAAGCTATTTAATCATGTTTAAAATGTGCTGAAATGCATATAAAAGTTTCATATTTTTCCCATTAAAGTACCACGTGAATGCCTCATAATTATCCACATTCTCACCTTCATTAGCACTGATGAAGTACTGAAGTACTGTCATCTGCTTTTGGCAGGGAATGGCAAGGAGGGAGATGCTCAAGATCCGAGTTTTTTGTGGATTGAATAGGTATTTCATTGACTGGGTTAATAATCTGAACTTTTTGAAAAAAATGACTTTACAAAGGTGGAGATGTGCAGGAGACTTTTGGCAAACAGAGGAGGGGTTTCCCAAATTCTAGATCCTAATGACCTGTGCTCTTCTTTGAAAACTGTTGAGAGAAAAGCTGCTACTTGTTATGGAACAAACACAACTCACACAACACTTGCACCTCTTACTAACACACTGTATTTCAGCTGTGTTCTGTAGGAGTAATTCCCAAGCATGAGGTTAGTTTATTTCCCATGGTTGATTAAATTCTTGGCCTCCCTTGTGAAACTGCCAGCTTGGGTGCCAATTAATACTCTGCATGTGCGTACATTTAAATTGTATGATTAGACACCTGTCCTGTAAGGTTTGGACTCGTGCCATCAACTTATTTCATATGGTTGCTCACTAGCTACTTGGCTTTCCCAAGCAGAGTCCTTCACAGTATTACCCTTTTTTTTTTTTTTTTTTTTTTTTTTTTTTTTTTTTTTTCCCATGGAATTGGCACGATGTTTCAGAGGCACTTCAGGGAGCAATGCCCAAGACGAGAAGCCAAGTAGATGCACTGCCATGTATATCCTGTAAAATGCATCAGCTTTTTTGATCTGCTTTTGGGCAGTTTACACTGAGGACTGGCTGAAACCTGAAATGAGGCTTTTCCTGGTGGATTTTATGAAGGGAACTGGTTAGGGTCTAATGCAAAGGCACAGGCTGAAACACTGGCTCACACCTTTTCAGTACAGATTAGCTGAATGCCAAGAGGGTTCATTATAGCAGGAGAGCTGCAATATTTCAGAGTCCATAAGGAGAAGAATAAGAGAAGTCAGAAGAAGAATTTTAGTGATAAATGGACAGAGAAAATCAGTATTTCCTCTGAGCCTGTGCAGACTGACAGCTAAATCCTGTTTTGAAGATCACTTGGGCAAAAAGTCTATCTCAGATAAAGTGAGAGTGAACATGAAAATTACTTTGAAAAGTGCTTTGACTGAAGCTAAGTGCTATTTCTAATTTTTTGGTTGGATTTTTTCTCTTCTTACTTGGCCTGCATGCTTAATACTGTTCACATCTCAGTGGTCCAGATAGGCCTTTGAAGCTGAGATTGGGAAGAGCTGAATATTGAAGATACTTGAGTCTTTATTCATGTTCTGATGCAGATGAAGTCAATTTTATCCAGGGCAGCACACCAATTATTTTGCAAGAAAGAGTGATAATAACTCTGTTTCATAAAGTCCAATTCTTCAATAGATAACTGCAAAGTAGGATAACACCATTATCCTTATTACAAAACATGAATCATGGGGAAATGAGTAACTTTGTCATTGATAATATAACCAAATGGATAGTTGTTCTGGGAAGGGAGCTCTGAAAAGGAGGTCTGCTTCCCTACATCACACCTATCTCACATCTAACTAGTACAGGAGAAACAGAAATGACATTTATTTCCAAGTAAAAGGCAAATTTCTGGAAAAAAATTTGCACACGTTGGGGAAAACCTCTTCCCAATAATAGTATTGCAAAAAATACTTTGTCAGCATTTAGTTTGTATTTTTGTTTTTCGTTGCATCTTTTACTCAGTAATACATATGGAAGTGTTCACTTGTTGCTCTTGCTGTATGGTTCTTCTCCCTTAATTAATTTGAGAGAGGAGACATTATTCAAAAATGGGTTTAGGCCTAATTTTTTGCCTTGACAAAGCAGTCTTTCAAACCAATTAAAACTCACAGAGAACTTTTGATATTCTCATTTTGAAATATGAAAAGGAAGCAAATTTGGAACATGCTTCCAAAATGCAGTGCTGCCAAGTATCTGATTCAAAGCACTTGAGTTCAGGTAATTCAGATATAAAACTTAATTAACACCTTTCCTAGCTTTTGAGGGAGAGACAGGAGTTTGTTTTCCTTCAAAATCCTCAAAGTCAAGGTTGTGGGAGAGCTCATATTTCCCACTACCTCCCCTGGTAAATAAGACTTGAACAAATAAGAGTGAGTTAGTGGCCTTTGCCATGAGTTGTTCTATGTATGCTGCTTTTGGAATAGTGCAGTGCTTATCACTGTCAGAACTTCAGTGCTTCTATCCACACAGGGCATTTGAAATTCGTAATTCACCTTTAAAATCTCAGTTTATCTGTATGCAAGGTCTGGCAGCATAACTATAGGAAAAATACAAAGCATTTTTCTTTAATGTGGACTTGTAATTATGATGGATAGTCTAGTTCAGAAGGATCAAATATATATATGTAATATACATATATATAACCAGATTTATGAGGGAGATGAGATGGAAGTGTTAAACCACTGAACATTTCGTTATAAATCAAGAATATGACTCTTGGGGTATGAAGGAGTTCTGTGCTGAGTGTCTTACTTCTTTACCATGGTATGTCCTTCCTTCTTGGAAAACAGCAAATAGCCCTTACCCTTCCTCAACCCTGTGTTAAATGTTTTTCAATTAGAACCAGAAAATTCTATACTATGACCCACAGGAAAAAGATGGGGGAAGAATAGCCAGCATTCATACCACAGGCAGTGTAAATTGCATGGCTGTCCAGGGATTTTGAAAATAAGCTGCTAATTTGAATTTCTTTTCTGTCAAAATACTAAACTCAAGGGCTTGGTTCTGCACCTGTTAAACTCTTAGGGGTTGTTGTGACTGATTCAAGCTGGAACAATTCCTAACCCTTGCCTCTCTGAACATTTTGTTCCCATTCTAAACAAGCATTTACATTTAGCTATGTGTTCCAGCAGTGTGTATTTAAATTCTGATGTACACATATATATTTTTCTTTTTGCAAGTTCTCCTCTCAAAAAGGGGAAAAGTTTGCAATACAAGCTCACATTTTACATCCCCTACATTCATTACTTTGTTTGTTCAAAATCCTGATTTATAGTGGCTATAATATCTCTTTTATAATAAGCTGTTATATAATACTATTCAGTGCACTGCAGTAGACAAGCAGTATTCAAAAGGGAACAAAAAAAATATTTGGATAGAGACATTTTGCAGTTTAGCAGCTGATGTGAGAACAAAATAGTAAAATGGAGGGTAATTTTCCAGGTGAAATAAAGATCCATGGAGGGAAGAAAAGGGTATATATTTGAATGCATACACTTAAAACAATACTTTTCTAATCTTTCCCTCTCCATAGACTAAAGAATATAATTTAATATTTGCCCTTAAGTTTTTTTCTCTTGCTGTCTTTCAGAAAAGGTGGAATGAATATGGTCACTGATATATTATTAGGAAAATGGAACTGTAATAATTTTCTTATTAAATGCAGGGCTGTTTATTTTTCACATGTAGCTTTGCCAAGAAGTCTGTAAATTGAAATAACCATTTCGTGTTTATTGTCCCTTAAATCTTTGGAAAGGCAAAAAATATTTGTCTTCAGACATTTTGATACACAAGATACACACACACTCATGGTTTTATAGACATTGTTAGATACTAATTTCTTTCTGGGAAGCCTGCATCTAAATATTTCTTTTCAGTCTTTGATAGCTACTACCACTACAGAATTTATATTTGCACTATTTTTCTCCTTGCCCGATGATCTTCATCTGATTCCTTAAGCATATCTGCAGTTCACATTTGCATTCTTCAACAGTTCACTGATCAGAAATTTATTTTCAGGCTTCTGCATGCCAATTATCAAGACAAGCTTCTAATCGAAACTGGACCTGGCATTGTATATTGCTTAATTTAAAATTAAAAAGTCATTATAAAGTGAGATTAATCTGAGATAAAAAGCTTTTATTTCTCATTTCCTCATGTTTTTTTTTTTGTCTAAATGATTGCCTTTCTTACTCAAGAACTTGTTGATAGCTCATAAACATTGTTCCTTTCTGAAGAGATGAGGTTTTTTTTGTAGTGTGAGATATTACATCAAGATTATTAATATAATTCAAATTGTGGTTCAAAACTGTGGTAGAATTCTTAATACTAATCCTCACACTGATGATCAAGCTAATCCAGTTCTTCACAATGTTGGCTGGTAAATGAGCTACATAACATGAATCTTATTACAGAATCAACTAGGTTGGAAAAGCCCTTTGAAATTACTGAGTCCAACCTGTGCCCTAACACCACCTTGTCAACCAGACCATGGCACTGAGTGCCACGTCCTTAAAATTCAAGTCACACCTTAAACACATCCAAGGCACAGTGACTCCACCTGTTCTGATGCCCCATCACCCTTTCTGTGAAGAAATTCCTCCTAATGTCCAACCCAAACCTCTCCTGGCGCAGCCTAAGACTGCATCCTCTTGTCCTGTATTACAGCTGTTCAAGATTTTTCCTGTTTCTGTTACAAGTAGTGTCATTTTTTTGTAATTCTAATGAAATGCTTGTAAATGCAATGTTTATAACAGATTTAGTTCAGTTTTGACACACGCCTAAGATGCTCAGTTCTCTTTATAAGTACAAGAAAAGGAGGTGGTTTTGGTTTTTGTTTTTTTTACCTTTCTGCTTTTCTGTATGATGTTGAAGATTGTATTGGTTTAACCCAAACAGCAGCTAAGCACCACACAGTGGCTTGCTCATTTATCTAGGCCCAGTGGTATAGGGAGGAGAAAAAAAAATAAAAAAGTAAAACTTGTCAACTGAGATAAGAATAATTTAATAATTGAAATAAACATAATAATAACAAAACAGAGAGAGAGAAGTGATGCACACTACACTTGCTCAGCAGCCACTGACTGATGCTCAGTCCAGCCCTGAGCAGTGATTGGCCCCTCCCTGCCAGCTCTCCCAGTTTATATAATGGACATGATGCTCTCTGGTATGGAATAGCCCTTTGGCCAGCTCACATCAGCTGTCCTGGCCATGCTCTCTCTCAGCTTCTTTTGTATTTCCTCACTGGCAGAGCATGGGACACTGAAATGTCCCTGATTTAGTGTAAACACTGCTGAGCAGCTACCAAAGCATTAATGTGTTACCAACATTATTCTCATATTAAATCCAAATCACAGCACTGTACCAGCTACTAGGAAGAAAATGAACTCTATCTCACCCAAAAGAAGAACAAACCAACTTGGAGATGCTGGTATTTATTTTTACTCTGTCCCTGTGATTTCATACACCATTCCTCTCCAAACAACTATAATCCAACGATTTAGTGACTCATAGCCAGGAAATATTCCTTTGGAAGGCTGATCTGAAAGTAGTCAAAAGCAGCATAGCTTGTCATTTGAGATCTTTAATAGCATTAAAGGATTTGTAAGCAAACAGTTTCGTGTTGGCATGGATAATTGTTTGCTTATATAGGGGAGGCATTAACAATTTTTTTTATAGTATCCACAGCCACATCACACTGGACTGCATCTGCCTTTGTACTGCTAATTGCAGTATTTTATTATAGGGTTCTGTCTCACTTCTAGGAGGACTTGATGATAGCAAGGACTGCTGCAGCAGCAATGAAAACTGTCTCTGAGAGAGTGATGTAACTATTGAATAAGCTCTCCTGATCACTTGAAAGCTCAATTCCTACTTTGTAACATCTGCTTTTAATGTCAGTAGGCTCCATCTCTATACCGATGTATGCAGATAGCTCCGTTATAGGACTCATTAATGTTTCATTTCATAAATGAAATCTGTGATTTCAAAATCCAGAGACACATTTATGTAGAAGCAATCCCTTCATGTTCTTAAGCAGGTATTTTCAACCTGGTATTTTTTTGTCTCGTGAACCACAGACATCAACCTGCAAGCAGAATTGAACCTTGTATGAATGGGTTCTAAACAGTGAGCTCTAGATCTCTAAGTGATTAGACAGAACCACTGATGCTCCTCTTCTTGTGGTATCTTTGTGTGTGTGACATTCTGGCGTTTAGTTATGCTTGTTACAGGGTGTCTTTGACTCCTAAAGACTGCACAACTACATATTTTTTCATTGTTGAGGAGATGAAACTAGTGGAAGAATTCCTTACGGCATTTCTCTTTCCACTTCTCTTTCTTGGCGTAATCGTTCTTATCTGTCAGCAGCCGTCCACGATGCTGAAGCTTATATCTGTAGTTTCTTTTTCTCTCGTGCTTGCAGGCATGGATCTCTTCTCCAATTGCACAGAGGAGTGTAAAGCACTGGGCCACTCGGATCGGTGCTGGATGCCTTCCTTTGTTCCATCCGATGGACGCCAGGCTGCGGATTACCGCAGCAATCTGCATGTACCTGGCATGGACTCCGTTCCAGACACTGAAGTGTTTGAAACACCAGAAGCCCAGCCCGGGGCAGAAAGGTCCTTCTCCACCTTCGGCAAAGAGAAGGCCCTGCACAACAGTCTGGAGAGGAAGGAGTTCGATGGACTGCTGTCTAATACACGAGCGCCTTACAAACCACCATATTTGAGTAAGTACCGCTCAAAAAGCTGCGTGGAGGCGTTCCCTTTGCGGGAACAAAAGTGAGCTCTTTCTGCTTTTCGTGCTAGCAATAACACAGGCACAATTTCAGGAATGGGGAGGGGGAAATGGCTTCTCTTGGATTCAGGCACCATTGTATCAGTGCTTTTTTAAAAAAGAAGAAAATCTTGATTGTTTTGAGTGTGACATCATTGTCAACAACAAAAGTGCCAGCTAATATTCGTGGGGGAGTTGCGCAGTTTTGTTTTCTGATGCTGGATTGTTTTCAAAATTTTCTTGGGTAGATGGTTTCAACATTGATGTTGCCAGGCTAATGTTTTCAAAGATTAGAGTTAAATTGAGAGAACAGTCCTAGGAGCTTCGTTTTATAATTGAGAAATATCTTGTGAATAAACAGTATGTATATTTTTTTTGAAGTAGCTGTTTACGTAGTTTGGAAGGAAGAAGAGCCTTCAGTCTGATCACCTTTGACTCTTGTCAGTGCTCTTTTGTGCCTTTGTCTCATTCCAAAATCTTGCCTCTCTCTTTAGTCACCTTTTGACTATGGTTATGTGGCATGAAAGAGTGTGATAGATCTCAAAAAGACCTTCATAATTCCTTTTGGAGTCTGAGCCAGCTGTAGAGCCCTTGAACAGCACTTTGATCTAATATGTCTTTTCATTCTATTTGCTGCATTCTGTGTTTTATTAGAGACTGTAATTTCCTTGACTTCAAGAAGTTATGATGTTTATCTCATCCAAATAAGCCAAAGACATTAACACTGCAATATCGACCCTTTTTTAAAGCAACAGAGGTCTTTTAGGATAGCAGATTGAGGGTAAAAGAGCAAAGAATTTCTCTGAATAGTATTAATTTATTTATTTTCCGAAAGCATTTAGTTGTTCTGAGGGTTGGTGTGCTGGCAGTCCTGATATGTGAAGATCTTTGTTACAGGTCATTCTCAGCACAGACAGCTCAGTTCTCCCTCCTTAATTGCCTGTCCTGGTATTTTCATTCATTTAGGAGAGGTCTTCTTATCACTTTATGTTTTAGATTCACTTTACTGACAACTTTAAATTTAACTACTAGTTCTGATTTGTGAAAGGCATTCCTAAAAACCTGTCCTGAAACAATCAGCTTATTTTGTGTGGGCTAAAATGTCACGTGCCAATCATGCAGTCATATTCTAAAGACCAGTGTGAAATTTCAGTACGGCCTAACAACTTTCAGTCTTTCCTGAACTATCTTCCATCATTTATTTCTATGCAACATTCCTCAGCACTAAGGCACCATCCAGAAGTATTGATTTCATCACTGTCACCTCAGTTAAAAAGTTAACTTTAATTTAACAAGTTGGGTAGCATCTTTAGATGGTCTAACCCCAGCTGGGTTCTGGTGCAGTAAAGATGTTGCAGTGATGATTTTTATCTGGTGACCCCACGATGTTAGTTCTGTTCAGATTTGTTCTAGGCCTGGGAGTTTAATTTCAAATATCAATGACATTTATTTTACTGATAGTTTAGGAATTTTAAAATTTAGTTAGTCTAACATAAGTAGTTTTGTGGAACAATGTCTTTACATAGAGACACTGATCTACATTTTGCACTTTTCTGGTACAAGAGCACAAACAATTGGAAGTAAAATATCAGAAGTAACCAATATAAATGAGTGTTATTACATAATCCACACTTGAGAATCCAGATTTAGTTTTGCTTTTTTTCCTTGAAATTCAAAGCTTAAATTTCTACGAAACAAGAGTAATGTTCCTCTGGTTTATTTTCCTTTTTTTTCTTTTTCTTTTTCTTTTTCTTTTTTTTTTCTTTTTTTTTTTTGGCTTTTTTTTGGTATTTTAGATTATAATTGTATAGCAAAGAACAGGAACAACAAAAAGAAAGTGAGCACTAGTTGTAGAAATGAGTAAATAATCTATTAGTAATAATGTATTAAACGAATAAGGCAAGAAAAATATACAAGAGGACGTTGATTTAAGAAGGAACCTTAGTTGATTCACTGGGTAATTGGAATTAAAAATAAAATTAAATTCAACTTCTTAATACAGAAGACCATGTCAAAATCAGTTTGTCAGCAGAATGACTTTTTTAAAGAAATAATTAAAATGTATGAAACAGAACCCTCATATTAGGCAAAACCACTGTATAAAAAGTTTAAGCATGTATGAAAATGGCCACATGAAATATAACTAACAAAGAATAAAAAGTGTATTCCTGAATGCAAAAACTATTTGAATTTAATAAGTATCTTAAAAAAACACAAAAGAAAGGTTCTAAACTGAATGATCAGAAAAGAACAGAAATTCTAGCTAGTGACTTTCAGGGTAGCAATTAGTAATTACTTAGAGCAAATAGCCAAAAGCATGCAAACAATGTAGACAACTTCAGGACATCAGGTGTAGTAAGCTGGGAGAGAATTGGTGAGTCCCTTGACTGCAGTTGTTGAGGACAAGGAGGTGGCAGAAGTTTTAAACTTTTTTTTTTCATTTGTATTTACCTAAGGAGGGACAGAGAAAGGCAGGTGTATCTAGGAAAACACCCATCCCAGGTAACCATTTTAAATAAATGTGTGGAAAATGGAAGAGAATGTTGTTGAAACAATTAACTAAAACAAATAGAAAGGAGTCAGTGGATATGTGTTTCTCTAATTTTTGGCTTCTAACAAGAGCTAGTAACCAAAGAATGTCCGAAGTTGTGTTTATCACTTCAAAATGTACTAGAAAATATCGTGAATTAGGGACCAGTGAGAAGCCTCAGCATAGGACATAGATTTGTAATTTAGGGGTTGTAGGAACAAGGTGGCTGGCATCTGACCAGGAAAGTAATACAGAAAGATTGTCGTTCTATTAGAATTTTGATAAAGCGAGTGAGAATTAATCGATAGGGTGTATTTGAACTGTCAAAAAAACCCTTTAGCACAGCTTCTGTAGAAGAAGCTCCTAAAGTAATCAAATTTTGTCATAAGGCAAAGCATTACCAGACTCTGTGCCTAAGAGGAAAAACCGTGAGGATAAAATGGAACATTTCAGCAGAGTCAGGGTTCCCCAAGCGTTTATGAGGAAATCCATGGAGTTTAAAAAAAATTATCTAGAAACAGCCATCAGAAAAAAAGAGGGAGTGTTTGCAGATGTCATGAAGGGGTTTGGGACCACTGGCTCTCGAGTGGCACATACCCCTGATGTGCAGTGAAATGTGGGCAAACCTCTTCTGCTGCTTCTGAGGTGCCTGGCTCTGGAATGGAAATCTGCAGAGGCGTGCCAGCACACTGGGGTAGCTGAGGAATTCACTCCCTGGAGCTGTGCCCTTACTCAGTGGCTCCAAAGGTATCTGGTAGCTCCAGGTAGAGCTTTTGTGGTGCCACAGGAGCGTGTCTGCTCTGGGATTCCTGCACTGCGTTCAGTGCAGAATTTTAGAAGAGATAAATGAAGAAGATGATGCATATTAGCATGAGAAATTTGAATTCATCCTGAGAAAAAAAGGCCGTGGAATAATTCCCTGAGAAGTTTCCCACAATGCACAAAGCCAGCGAGAAGGAAATAAAATACCAGGTTGTAAAAAGGAATTGAATTGAAAGTACACTAAAAAAAGTGCTACAAAACCCCTACACAGATCATGTCACTGTGTTCCTCTAGACAGTCTATTCATTGCATAGAAACACATGGCATAGCAGCAACAATACTGAAAATAACTCTGTGCAAAGTCATATCAAAAGCTTAGTGCTAATTAATGTAGACAAGCTGTGGTGGGGAGGGGAAGTGAAGGAGGCTGCATGAGAATTTAGGAAGTAAACTGTGTGCTTTTGTTTGCTGGGCTCAGTAGCAAGGGAGCAGCAAAACAACTGCAGGGCAGCAGGGTCACAGACTGATCAGATCATACACATTTGATAAAATGATACCATAAATTGCAGTAACCTGTTGAACTTGTGTAGCATGGTTGAAACTGAAGGCTCAAGACATTTGGATATTTGGTTCTTTGTGGCTGGAGGTTTAGATCATTGATTGGTTAAGTGAAAACAGCAGCTATAGTACAAGTTGTTATGTAGAAAAGTATACAAATCTCATACTTGATAGAGTTTCTTTTTGTTCCATCATCAAATTTTCACCTTGCTCGTCTAAGCCATTGGACTTATTTATACACCAATTTCCAGATAAACATACATATTCTATGTGTTATTCCGAACAAAATGTAAGTAGATTTCTACCTACTTAAATAATATATTTTGCAGAATATACTTAAGTTTTACGTAATCACTATGAGTACAAATTATAAAGTTGTGATGGAATCAGCAAATTGTAGGATTTTTGAAAAATCTCATAGAGTGACTCCAGGATTCTCCCTAACTTACATATTCTTCTTACTGTGTAACTAACACTTACTACTTGCTATTCATCCACGAGGTTTGAACACTGCATTTCTGTAGACAGTTAAGAAATTCTCCTCAATACTTGAATGTTTATAAAGCATGAAAGAAATCCTGGACTTGATTGCAGAAAATAAGTGAAATAACACTGATGAGGAAAATAAAATGTAGCTTTTAAAGAATTCCTATGTTTTCAATTCTAAGAATTTCTGGCTAATTTTTCTTTCAGTGGTGGTTATATTAGCTATTATTTTTATAAATAGTATTACTATAGTTACCAAAACCCTTAATCCAAGATTCAAACTCTGTTGGGCCAGATTCTGTAGAATATGTAACAGAAATTATCTTTTTTCACAATGAATACCTGATCAATCTGATTCTGCTCAATTTCTAATACCTTGAACCAGGTCCTGAGATTGTAGCAGTGGAAACAGCACCATTGAATCTACCTCAGGAGTATTTTGGTCTATAATTAATAGCTTTCATTTTTTTTTAAATATAATTTTGCTTCACTCTAGATGAGCAATAATTTTTTAATGCTTTAGAGCTTTCCTGAAGTTTCATGCTGACATTAGTAATAGAGTAATTTTTCTTCCTATTAAAAAGTTAGAATTTTTTTAATATACAAAACTAGTCAAA